TGCTCCCGCGCCTCACTCAGCCAGTGAGCGGGAACCGGTCCGTATGTGGGATCCGAACCCTAGGGCGGAAGCGCCGCTGCGCTTCCCAAGCGGCGCACTATCCAGTGCGCCACCGGGCCGGCCCGGAATTGTCTGTTTTAATATGTTATTTTCTCTTAAAGAATAAAGTTGTATGGACTAAAACACTCTGTAAATCAAGAGCCAAAAGAGATTCAATGTTTTAAGTATTTATGTATTTGCTTTTGTCTTATAGGTTAACAGCTTTTGCTTTAAGAGTACTTGGACAAGTAAATAAATATGTTGAGCAGAACCAAAATTCCATTTGTAATTCTTTGCTTTGGCTGATTGAGAATTGTCAATTAGAAAATGGATCTTTTAAGGAAAAATCCCAGTATCTCCCAATAAAATTACAGGTAAGGAAATCAGATGTACAAATTAGCAACAGTTTCATTTACAAGTTTGAGTTTCGTTCTCATCTATTATGGAAAGATGAAGAGAAGAAAAAATATATGTAATCCTGCAAGAAAGTCCTCTTGTAAACAGGCAAAGACCACAAAAGCCCTTTCCATGCTCTCAGAAGTGAAGAAATCTTCACAGTTCACCAGAGATCAAATAAGTGACAGATCTTAGACATCTCCTGTAACAGGCATTTGCAGTTCACAGGGCATAAACTCCAGAGATCTCAGAATGAGTGAAAGGTGCTAATCTGTCCCCCTACCCTTGGTATGAAATCTGTACCTGAAGTTCAGAGCCTTCTTACAAGTCAAGGCTGCAAAGTGTTGTCATGAAAGATTGGATCTTTTTTATATCCTGTTAGAGAGAATGGGGTCAATTTATGAAAAAGTGCAACAAACTGTTATTTGAGTTTAGAATCTATTGACAAGCTTAAATTACAGAGCACAGACAGTCCCCAATTTACAATGGTTCAATTTAAGATTTTTCAACTTTACAATGGTGTGAAAGTGATTAGCATTCAGTAGAAACTATACTTCAAGTACCCATCAACTGTTCTGTTTTTCACTTTCAATACAGTATTTAATAGATGACATGAGATATTCAACACTTTAATATAAAATAGTCTTTGTGTTAGATGATCTTGCCCAATTCTAGGCTAATGTAAGTGTTCTGAGCCTGTTTAAGGTAGGCTCGGCTAAGCTGTGATGTCTGGTAGGTTAGGTGTATTAAATGCATTTTCCGGGCTGGCCCGGTGGCGCACTCGGTAGAGTGTGGTGCTTGGGGGCGCGGCGGCGCTCCCGCCAAGGGTTCGGATCCCATATAGAGATCGGTCCACTCACTGGTTGAGCGCGGTGCGGGCGCGACACCGAGGGTTGCGATCCTGTTACCGGTCACGAAAAAAAGACAAAAAAGGAAAATAAATAAATAAATAAAATAAATGCATTTTCCACTTACCGTATTTTCAACTTATGATAAATTTATCTGGACATAACCCCAACATAAGCAGAGGAGCATCTGTAATTACATCACTCCAGGATATCTCTATAATATCTTCTATTCTTTAGAATGCTTCTTTAAGATTCAACAGAAGCTTTTTTTTCTGCTTGCTCCAATCCAGTCCCTTTTATATCAGGCATGAGTGACCTCCATGGCTGACCATGGGTCTTGTAATGGTCCTTTGCTGCATCAATAGCAGATTAGGACTCCCACAAGAAGTGGAGGCAACTGACATCATGCAGGTGCTATCTGAAGAGTAAAATATCGTATTAGTCCATTTCTGTTACTTATAACAAAATACCTGGAACTGGGTACTCTGCAAGAGAATGAAATTTATTGCTTATGATTTCTGAGGCTAGGAAGTCTAAAGTCCAGGGAACACAGCTGGTCTTGGTGGTGGTGACAGTGGTGGCAGGGTATCACATTGTGAAAATGGCAGACCACAAAGAGGAAAGAGAGCAAGAGGCCAACTTCCTCATTCGCTCTCCTTTTAAAGCCCTCCGAACCACGTCCATGACAAACATTTTTAATCCATTCACTACAGCATGGTTCTACAATCCAATCACCTCTTCAGGGCACCACCTTTCAATTACCATAATAGGATTTCCCACCCTCAACAGTTACAGTGGGGATTAATCTTCTAATATATGAGACTTGGGGGACACAATTCAGGCTTCAGTGAGTTTTGGGGGGACATAATTTGATCCACTACGTTCTACACCTGACCCCCTAAACTCAAGTCCTTTTCACATGCAAATACATTCATTTCATCCCCAAAGTCTTAACTTGTTTCAACTCAAAAGTCCAAAGTTCAAACTCCCATCTGTTATTTACTTGGAAGTTATTTACTTCCAAGATACAATGGTGGGATAAACATAGGGTACATAGTCCCATTCCAAAAGGGAGAAATAGGCCAAAAGAAAGGGGTAACAGGTCCCAAACAAGTCTGAAACCCAGCAGGGCAGGCATTAAATCTCAAAACTGGTGAATCATGTACCTTGACTCCACGTTCAATGTCCTTTGCGTGCTGGTGTTGGGGCTGGGTCCCCAAGTCCATGGGCAGCTGCTCCTATGGCTTTCCTGGTCTCAGGCCACACTTCAGTTCTCCTAGGCTGGCATTGCACTCTGGTAGCTCCACAATTCTGGGGTCTCCATGGCAGTCCTGCTCCCATGGTTCCACAAGGCATGACACTGCTTGGGTTTCTCTGCTGCAACTCCAACCCCACATTTCCACTATACATTCCTCTAGTGAAGGCTCTATGCAGTGAATCTGCCCTTATGGCAGATCTCTTCTTGGGTCCCCAGGCTTTTCCATACATCCTTTGAAATCTGGGTGGAGATTCCCAGGGCTTCAGAGCTCTGGCATTCTGTGAGCAGACAGACCTAACACCATGTGGATTCCATCAAGGCTTCCAGCTTGTATTTTCCAAAGTTGTGGGTCCAGCCCCACCTGTGGCCAATTTAGCCATGGTTGGAGCAGCCAGAGCAGCTGGGGTGCTGGTGCTGGAAGCAGCTTCCTGAGGTGGTCCTGGGCATCGAGCCAGTGGAGGGTGCTTCAGGCATGTTCCCCAAGACCATTCTGTCTCCCTAGGTCTTTGGGCCTGTAATATAAGGGTTGTCCCCAGAGGCTTCTGCAATGCCTTCAGGGCCTTTCTCCTACTCTTGATAATCCCATACTTATGTGTTAATCTTAGTACCACTGAATTTTTCTTCTGAAAATGCTCTCTGCTTCTCTACCATATGGCCAGGCTGCAAATTTTCCAGATCTTTACACTCTGCTTCCCTTTTAAATTCTGGCTTTATGTCCTGCCTTTGCCGCCATAACTCAGCATAGGCTGTTGCAAGTAGCCATAAAGCTTCCTTAATGCTTTACTGCTTAGAAATTTCTGCTACCAAATACTCTGGTTCACAACTCCTAGGTTCTATCTTCCACAAAGTCCTAGGGCATGGACAGAATGCAGTCAAATTCCTTGCCAGTTCACAGTAAGGGTGATCTTTGCCCCAGTTTCTGATAAACTCCTTATTTCTCTCTGAGACTTCTTTAGAGTGGCCTTTACAGTCCATATTTCTATCAGCATTCTGCTTGCCACCACGTAACCAGTCTCTAAGACATTCCAAACTTTCCCTCATCTCTTTATCTTCTTCTGAGTCCTCCAAACTCCTCCAACCTTTGACTAACATCCAGTTCCAAAGCCACTTCCACATTTCCAAGTGTTTGTTATAAGCAACACCCTACTTCTCTGGTACCAATTTTCTGTATTATTCCGTTTCTGATGCTTATAACAAAATACCTAGTACTGGGTAATTTAGAAAGAAAACAAAATTTATTGCTTACAGTTACAGGGCTGGAAATCCAAAGTCCAAGAACATAGTTGGTGAAGGTCTTGATGGTGGTGACAGTGATGGCAGGCATCACATTGTGAAAATGACCAGAGAGAGCAGAGAGAGAGCAAGGGGCCAACGTCCTCATTCATTCTCCTTTTAAAGCCCTCCAAACCACACCCCTGACCACCATTGTTAATCCATTCACTACATCATGGTCCTACAATCTAATCATCTCTTCAAGGAACCACCTTTCAATTACCATAATAAGATTTTCTACCCTCAACAGTTGCAGTGGAGATTAAGCTTCTAATATATGAGACTTGTGGACCACAATTCAAGCTTCAGTGAGTTTTGGGGAGATGTAATTCAATCTACTACAAGTACTATAACATTTTTTTCTTATATATCCATCCATCCATCGATCCATCTATCCACATTCATTCAACAGCCATTCACTGAGCACCTAATATATGTAAGGGCCTATTTTGTGCATGGTGGGCAGAAGAGGTGGGAAGGATGGATCCCAGATAGCATCCTTGCCACAAAGGAGCTCATACACTGATAGAGAAGGTGGGGTGTAAATGTAGTACCAATTCTAGCAACTCTAATCAATATATGTGTGTGTGTGCATTTATTTTAAAAAGAAATGAAAAGTTGTCTATATTTATGGTATAAAACATGATGTTTTGAGATATATATACACATTGTGGAATGGCTAAATTAAACTAATTAATATATGCATTACCTCACATTCTTTATTTGTATAGTGAGAACATTTAAAATCTCCTGTCTTAGCAATTTTCAAGTGTTATTAACTGCAATCACCATGTTGTGCAATAGACCTCCTGAACTTATTCTTCCTGTGTAAGTGAAATTTTGTATCCTTTGACAAATGTTTCCCCTATACATACATATATATGTGTGTGTATATATGTGTATGTATACTCACACACCACATTTTCTTTATTCATTCACCCATTGGTTTTCTGATGCTTATAACAAAATACCTAGTACTGGGTAATTTAGAAAGAAAACAAAATTTATTGCTTACAGTTACAGGGCTGGAAATCCAAAGTCCAAGAACATAGTTGGTGAAGGTCTTGATGGTGGTGACAGTGATGGCAGGCATCACATTGTGAAAATGACCAGAGAGAGCAGAGAGAGAGCAAGGGGCCAACGTCCTCATTCATTCTCCTTTTAAAGCCCTCCAAACCACACCCCTGACCACCATTGTTAATCCATTCACTACATCATGGTCCTACAATCTAATCATCTCTTCAAGGAACCACCTTTCAATTACCATAATAAGATTTTCTACCCTCAACAGTTGCAGTGGAGATTAAGCTTCTAATATATGAGACTTGTGGACCACAATTCAAGCTTCAGTGAGTTTTGGGGAGATGTAATTCAATCTACTACAAGTACTATAACATTTTTTTCTTATATATCCATCCATCCATCGATCCATCTATCCACATTCATTCAACAGCCATTCACTGAGCACCTAATATATGTAAGGGCCTATTTTGTGCATGGTGGGCAGAAGAGGTGGGAAGGATGGATCCCAGATAGCATCCTTGCCACAAAGGAGCTCATACACTGATAGAGAAGGTGGGGTGTAAATGTAGTACCAATTCTAGCAACTCTAATCAATATATGTGTGTGTGTGCATTTATTTTAAAAAGAAATGAAAAGTTGTCTATATTTATGGTATAAAACATGATGTTTTGAGATATATATACACATTGTGGAATGGCTAAATTAAACTAATTAATATATGCATTACCTCACATTCTTTATTTGTATAGTGAGAACATTTAAAATCTACTGTCTTAGCAATTTTCAAGTGTTATTAACTGCAATCACCATGTTGTGCAATAGACCTCCTGAACTTATTCTTCCTGTGTAAGTGAAATTTTGTATCCTTTGACAAACGTTTCCCCTATACATACATATATATGTGTATATATATATGTGTATGTATACTCACACACCACATTTTCTTTATTCATTCACCCATTGGTAGACACTTAGGTTGTTTCCATATCGTGGCTATTGTGAATAATGCTTCAATGAGCAGTGTAGTGCAGAATCTCTTCAACATATTGATTTCCTTTCCTTTGGAAATATACCCAGAAGTGGAATTGCTGGATCGTATGGTAGTTCTATTCTTAGTTTTCTGAAGAACCTCCATACTGTTTTCCATAATGGTTGTACTAATTTGCATTCCCCACCAACAGTGTATCCATATCCTCTCCCATACTTGTTATCTCTTGTCTTTTGATAATAGTCATCCTAACAAGTGTGAGGTGATATCTCATTGCAGTTCAATGTGCATTTCCTTGATAAGTAGTGATGTGGAGTATTTTTTCATATACCTGGCATTTTGAATTGGAGACAGAGAGGGTGGTTCATTCAAAGTACGGGGACCATGGGAACTAGGGGGTGAGTGGCATGAAATAAAGCTGGTGAGTTAAGTGGACTTCATTGAAGGTCTTATAAGAATTGCATTGGAATATCACTCCCTAAAAGTAAAAAATATGGGAGAAGAGAGACTAAATAGTGCCTCATAGAGAAGGTGGCATTTGAACAGGGTCTTGAAGGAGGGGGGAGAACTTGAACGTGGTGAAGAAGTATGAAGTGGGGGAGGAGGGGGGAGAACTTGAACGTGGTGAAGAAGTGGTGCTGGGGAGGGGGTGGGATGGGAGAAGCGAGGAAGTGACGGCTGTCAAGCAAGAAAGACCCAGAGCTTACTGAGAAATGGTAAACCGTCCAACCAGAGTGCGTGAAGGGCAAGAGTGGAAGATAAGGCTCAAAACAGAGATTAGAACCAGGTCATTTCACTTTAAAGACACCATTTCACTCTCCTTCTACACACTGCTTGTTTTTAGGGTACACTGTCTTTAGAAGCCCGAGAGAACACCTTATATCTCACAGCCTTTGCTGTGATTGGAATAAGGAAGACTTTTGATATATGCCCGCTGGTGGTAAGTAAGAGTTTTCTTTCTCTACACCCATTATTTCTTTCTGTACCGTAGACTGGAGGGAACACCAATCCGCTTTTCATTTCAAAAGCTTCTTTTCCTTCTTTTCGCATTACTTGAAAATGACTTTAATTTCAGAATCAAAGGCTTTTAGAACTATGATAATATTAGAGTCCACCTAGTCCAACCAACTCATCGACAGTTAAGAAGGCTGAAGCCTGTATGTCAGGTGAATTTAATTGTGCAGTATCACAGGATGGTACTGAATTGTTGAGCTGAGACGAGAGCTAATAACTAGAACTGTGATAGAATGACCCAGTGTTCACAGGTCTCCCCTCTTATCTCTACTAAGTCTTACTATACAAGGGTATTTCAAAAAGTTCATGGAAAAATAGAATAGAAAAATAATACGAATTTTAGGGTTCGGATCCCACATACAGACTGGCCGCTCACTGGCTGAGCGAGGAGCGGAGGCAACACCGAGGGTTGCGATCCCGTTGCCGGTCCTGGTCCGGCACAGGCACGACACTGAGGGTTGCGATCCGTTGCCGGTCACGAAAAAAGAGACAAAAAGACAAAATAATAATAATAATAATAATAATAATACGAATTTTTCCACGAACTTTTTGAAGTACCCTCATGTGAATGTTACTGTTCCTCTATAGTTGAGGCATTCTGTATCATACAAGTGCTGAGGATACACAACAGAAAGTTTGCTTCTTTGGGCTGTGTTGTTTCATTTGCTTGGAAGCCGAGGGGATAAAAGAGAGGATCCACATACGTAAATCAACATAGAAGGAGGTTCCAAAGGTTAACAAAGATGATACCCTCGTCTGGGAAGAGATAGACCCCTGAGCTGAGGTTAAATGCTCCTGCCTGCAAATCAGAAGCCTGTCAGACATGTGCCTCAAACCAGGATATAGAACTGAGATGGAAAAACCCAAGGGGATTTGCAGGACTTGAACCACAAAACAAAACCATTTTTTTAGTTTATTTAGAAAGCCTTGGTATTTACACTTAACATGAAAACATAATCGATGAGGATCAGTTCCCAGGGGCCTGGAGGACCAGCCAGCAGAGGCACAGATGGAGTGGGGTGGGAAGGAGCTTTCCCCTAACCCACTTATCCATAATAACAATCCCAGTGGTCCCAGGACAAGTGATAGAGACTATTTTCCCAGGAATTATTAGGATCGAACAATACTGTGGCAGCTTGGCTATTTTTCTGCTATTTATGGTCTGGGTTTTTTTAGAAGAACTCCTTTTGAACATGTGAGCCTGTCTCAGCTGTTCTGAGAGGGAATGTTGTCTCTCTGAGAGGTGAATGTTGTCCCTAGGCTTTCAGCCTCTTCCCGCTGGAGACTAGGTCTGATGGTGGAATCAGAAACTAAAGGGACATAATCTCTAAAGGGGAGTGAGAATTCAGAGGCAAAAAGCTTCATCCAGTTTGGACAACCACGATGTCCCTTCTAAGTCTATGTCTGCTCCTTCTCATGGGAGCACTTGCTTCATTGAGACACCGTCTGTTTCCATTAGGTCAGTCCGCTTTCCACCCTGGGAGCACTTGCTTCATTGAGACACCGTCTGTTTCCATTAGGTCAGTCCGCTTTCCACCCCTCCTCTTGCCCAAGCCAGGATGGTGCGACCTCGGTATCGTTCATATCAGTTGACAGGCTGATGCTTGACAAAGAAACTTAGGTTTCCTCTTCTTTTGTTTCCAGAAAATCAACACAGCTCTAACTAAAGCTGACACCTTTCTGCATGAAAATACTCTCCCGGCCCAGAGCACCTTCACGCTGGCCATCGCTGCATATGCTCTTTCGCTGGGCGATAAAACTCACCCACAGTTTCGTTCAATTGTTTCCGCTCTGAAGAGGGAAGCTGTGGTTAAAGGTATGACTGTTCCAAACATTTATTCAGCAAGCATTTACTAAGTACATTGAGGCTGCTAGTTCTGGGAAGTGGGTGGTAGCATGCAAAATCCCTGCCCTCAAGGAACAAATCATCACAATGCAATGTAATAAGAGCTGTTATTCCTCCATCAAATATTTATTCATTTCTTTATTCAACAGATATGAATTTAGTATCCTATGGATACCTCCTATGTACTAGGCACTGTTCTAGGCTCTGGGGATAAAGCAACCAAACAAACAGACCAAAATAACAAATCCAGATCCTCATGAAACTTACTTCCAAACTGGGGAGAGACAAGCACGATAACTAAGTAAAACTTTGAGAATAGGTTGGCAATGACTGATACGAAGAAAAATAAAATAGGGAAAGGAGGTAAGGTAAGGTCGCGGGTTGTCATTTTAGATAGGGCCACTGGGCTTAAGCCTCACTGAGAAAATGTATTTGAGTTGAGACCTGAAAGGAAATGAGGAAACAAGTCCTGTGGCTATCTAGAAGACTGCTGCTGGTGGAAGAACAGCACAGGCAAATGTCCTGAGGCACCAGCATGCCTGATACCCTAGAATGGCAAGGAGGCCAGTGTGGCTGCCGAGGACCGAGCTGAGGAGTAAGAACTGAGGTCAGGGAAGAAAAGAGTGAGGGAGCAAGGGAAGGTTGTGTAGGATGTTAGAGGTCATTACAGGGACACTTCAGGGCTTCTGAATACTGTTGTGCAATGAACAAGGCACCCAAGCAAACAGGTGGATGGAGACTGCAATCCAGCTCATGCTCCACTCTGCAGCCATGTACCCTGGTTGAGGGCTGACATCACCCACACCAAGGGCTGTCTGTGTCTCATTCACGTCAAGGTGCTGTGGGACCAAAGAGAATCCTAGGATTTAACTTCCAGGATGAGTGAGAAGAGAAGCCATTGGATCTCGAACAATACAGTGCATGACCTGGCTTGCATTTTACCGGGTTTGCTATAAAAGTATGTATTTTGCATTGAAGAATAAAGACACTGCTTCAAGAATAAAGTAGAAGAGAGCAGCGGTGGTCACTGGCACGGCTGGGCACTTCTGAGCCCTCTCCTGGCTGAGGTTTTCTGAAAGTTTTATAAATCTTGCTTGAGATTGATGACCATCTATAAAATTTGACTTCTGTCATTATTTAAAAATGACTAAGTATTAATGTATAACTCAAAACCACTTGTACAATACTTCAAAAATAACACGAAAGAAGCATCTAGGGCATTTGAGATGCGGATTATAAAATGACAATTTAAGAGCTAGAAGGGAACTTAATAATTTGAATAATATTTGAGCTGAAAGTTTCTTTAAAAACCTAAACTAAACCTTTCATTTTAAATACAGCAAATCTGAGTCTCTGAGAGGGAGGGAAAGTAGTTATCATGTATATTATATTTGATATATAATATTATGTACATTATAATGTAGTTATGAATTGTAAACAGACTCATCAAACTTTTGATGAACCTTCAAAAATGATTTTCAAATATACTTTTCTAGTTTTGTAAGAAATAATTTGTTCCAGAAAGGATTTAAGGTGACAGGTTTAAAACACTAGAGCAATAACAAATATAATTTAGAACCTAACTTATGAAAAGTACTTATATGTGAAATTGTCTTTAAATTGGATGGAGATAATAAAAGACTGAACTAAGATATGGGGGTGTGATCTCATAATTTCCAGGATGTGAATTTTTTCCAGTAGGGAAAAAGGTTTTGTAGTGTCAATAATAATAATAACTCTTTATATGTGCATGGTGCTTTCTGGTTTACAAAAACTTGTACATTTAGTATTTCATTTGAGTTTCACTGCACAGAAGAAAATATTATCTACACTTTACGTACTTGGAAACTGAGTCCCACAGAACTGTAGGAACTTGCTGAAGTTGACACAGTCAGTTATTAGTAGAAGAAAGAATAGAACCTGGGTCTGCTAATTCCCAGTTTATTGCACTATCTACTCTACCATACTGCCTCCTTCTAGTACATGTGCACTTTCCATGTTGACCTTTTTAAATAAAGACAAGTAGCACTGTATTAAGGAATCTTGTTTTGTATTGGTTACCTTGAGGAAGTTCTTCTTACAAAAAAAAGCAAGTAACTTCCAGAAACCAAAAGGTCATAATCTACCTGCTGGAATTGCTATGTCAAATTCACAGTTTTAATCATATTAATAAATGTGATTTATTGATGTTCAGGTAATCCACCCATTTATCGCTTTTGGAAAGATGATCTTCAACATCATGATAACCCTGCACCTAACACCGGTACGGCACATATGGTAGAAACTACTGCCTATGCTTTGCTCACCAGTCTGAACTTGAAAAACATGAATTATGTCAACCCAATCATCAAATGGCTATCTGAACAGCAGAGGTACGGAGGCGGCTTTTATTCAACCCAGGTAACATCTCCATGTCTTGTTTCTTCCTCGCGTAGACATTTCTGTTGTCTCCAATACCACACATTCCACACTCATTCTGGTCTCCATGCTTTTGTCCACCAAATGAGCATGTCCTAGATATGAGTAACATCTGGAACCAAAGGACCTCCTTATTATACAGAGGAGGAGATGAGCCCAGGGAGGTTCATTCAGGGAGTTAGTGGCAGAGCCAAAATCAGACCTCATGCCTCCTGACTCAGCCCAGTGCTTCCTTTATGATTCTTAATGACCATGAGAGGCTAGGAAGGTTATCCACAATGACGTCACATCCTGGGTAATAAATAGTGATTGATATGTGGACAAAAGTACTGATGTCCCCCCCCAAAAAAATAAAAAATGAGAGAAATACTGATTAGTGTATGTTTCTTTACCTATCAGTGTAAACTCATTTGTGTATGTGTATTTTGTGTGTCATAACTATTATGTAGTTGTATACTATACATCTGTATTCAAAGTTTAGCTCAAATGTTAACATCTTCCCTGTCCCTTAGATGTTTAGGTAATCATAGAGTGTGTATTATCTATATATATAAATTTTAGAGGTAGAGGGGTCCTTTGAGGTTAATTTATTGATTATCTAACGGGTTTCATCTTGGGTACAACTGTAGGCTTATTAGAAAAGAGTACCCTGTTGATTAGGACTGGCTGCCATGAACATAGGTAGAGGGAGAAGACACATATTTAACTTCTCTGACCTAGTCACATTAGCTGATTATACAGATGAGGAAAATGAGGTCCAGAGATATAAAGTTCATTCATTTATTACTTTGACAAATACTTATTGAATAGCAACCATATGTACCATATATACCCACTAAATGCAATGGACACTGTCTTAGTCCACTTTGCGCTGCTGTAACAGAATATCACAGACTGGGTAATTTATAATGAATTGAAATTTATCATCTCATGGTTCTGGAGGCTGGGAAGTCCAAGACTGAGAGGTCAGCATCTGTCAAGTGCCTTCTTGCTGTGTTATCTCTTGGCAGAAGGGCAAAGAGAGGATGAGGCGGGGAGAGAACAAACTCATCCTTTTATAAGGAACCCACTCCTGTAATAACAGACCCACTCCCATTACAACAGCAGTAATTCGTTCATGAGGGCGGTGCCCCCCTCACCTAAATACCTCTCATTAGGCCCCACCTCCCAACACTGCCACAATGTGGATCAAGTTTCCAATTCATGAACTTCAGAGGACACATTCAAACCATAGCAGACACCAAGAAAGACATACTATCTACTTGCCCCATGAATTTTCCATTGCAGTGGGGAAGACCAACAATAAACTATAAATTAAAGTACTGAAAATTGGTATAAATGCTATAAAGGGCAGAAAGGAAACATTTAAAACAGAAAATAATGGGATGGGGGAGTTTATGGCCTCACTGTGGAGATATTTAAGCTCAGACCAAAGGATGAGAAACAGATAATCATGCAGAGTTGGAGGCATCCTGCAGAGTGACTTGCCTGACGTCACACACACAGAATATGTAGAGGACTGGATCTGAGGCCACAACTCATTCCTGTCCTTGCTAATAGCAGCATTCTCACGGTGGAGGGATGTTCCTTCCACCTCCACAATGGGGCCCTAAACCCATTTCACTCAGTTAGCTGGAGGTTCATCTCTAGACAATGCTGCCCTACCCTCTCATTAGAAAATCATTTGCAGAGAAGGAATATATAAATAAGCTAAACATATTTTTGTGCCTTGCTAATTGTTGATAGGATACAATCAATGCCATCGAGGGACTGACAGAATATTCACTCTTGGTTAAACAACTCCACCTGAATATGGATATCAATGTCTCTTACAAGCACAAAGGAGACTTCCACCATTATAAAGTGACAGAGAAGAATTTCCTTGGAAGACCAATAGAGGTAAATAAAGACTTTTTCATAATATTTTACAATTGATTGGGACCATTGAAATCATCTGTTCTACCCTTATTTTACAAATGTATTTATTGACTATTAAATGTATGTTGAGTGTCTGCTGTGTCCTGGGCACTGAGGATTCAAAAATAAAACACAAAGAACCTATGTACTGGGGAGAGACAGTCATTTAAACAGACAATGAAAAATAAGAGTCTTGATTGGTACATGGAAGTGCAGAGGGGGGGGTCTCCTGATCCAGGCTGAGAGGTGGGGGTAGTTTGTCAAATGTGTCTAGATGTCTGGGTTAAATCTGAAAGAATCGGAAGGAATTAGCCTGGTGAAGAAAAGAGAAGAATAATCCAGACAGAGATAACAGTTCACACAAAGGTACAGTGGTGCAGTAACAGTGGAGATGTGTTTGGGAGTCTGCCAGTGGCTCCTTCTGGCCCTGGTCATTCATGCAGACTGTGGCCTGGTTGGAATTGGTCCTTAGGTCCCCTGACTTCTTGCCCTACGTCCTTTGCTACTGCTGTTTTCCATCATAGTGAACACTTTGATGGCTTACGAGAATTTCTCAAAGAAAAGGGAACATTAGAAATGTTGCTTTGTCCCCCACGGATTTGTCACCCCTCTTCCCCTGGGTGATGGAGCTGCGAAGCATTACTCAAAGCCCATCTCTTCCGAGCAGTGAGAAGCCCCAACGTGGTTAATTTCCCAGAACCCTCGAGAGAGAGGCATTCCTTCCATTTGGGAAATTAACCCCGAATTGGGGTTTTCTTCCTGCATTTATTCTTCAGCCCAGAAAGTTACAGCAAGAGACATAGGTGGAGTTACAGTTTAACAATATAGGCTGGTAACTTTCAGNAAAGAACCTATGTACTGGGGAGAGACAGTCATTTAAACAGACAATGAAAAATAAGAGTCTTGATTGGTACATGGAAGTGCAGAGGGGGGGGTCTCCTGATCCAGGCTGAGAGGTGGGGGTAGTTTGTCAAATGTGTCTAGATGTCTGGGTTAAATCTGAAAGAATCGGAAGGAATTGCTTGTTTTACTGAATGTTACCAGTGTATGTTGTTAAAATATAACCACACCTATGTTCTCTTCCTGTAACTTCCTGGTCTGGAGAATAAATGCAGGAAAAGAACCCCAATTCATGGTTAATTTCCCAAATGGAAGGAATGCCTCTCTCTTGAGGGTTCCAGGAGATTAACCCCTTTGGGGTTTCTCACTGCTCAGAAGAGATGGGCTTTGATAAATCCTTTGCAGCTCCATCACCCAGGAGAAGAAGGGTGACAAATCTGTGGGAAGCAAAGCAATAGTGAGAGTGTGGGTGAGGGCAATGAGTTCTGCCTGTTGGGAAGTGGTGTTAGGGGGGAGGGGGACTCCCAAATGGGTAACTGAAGGAGAAGAAATTTGGGCTTTGCTGGGGGACACTGGATATCCCCTAGAGGCCAGAAAATTAAGGAGAGCAACAGTGTGGGCCTGTGCATCCTCATAGGAGGGGCTACAAAGGTGCAATTCATTCACATATTGTATTAAAGTGGTAGAGGTTGGAGGAAGTTCAGATAAGTCTTGAGCTAAGGCCTGGCTGAAGAAGTGGGGGCTATCCTGAAACCACTGAGGTAGTACTGTCCAGGTGGGTTGTTGGGAACGACACATATCAGGATCAGTCCAAGTGAAGGCGAACAGCTTTTGACAGGAAGATTTTAAGGGGATCGCGGGTTATTTGATAACTAATATAAATTATTGAAGATTTTTTAGCAGGTTTGTGAATTGTTTGACAATAGTATTTGATTAGGGTGTTAACTGTGTGTCTGTAATGCTCAGAATACCCTTTGTATGAAAATTATTTTTTTTCTAAACTCAACTCAAGTATTACATTTTTATTATGGGCTCCCTCAATCTCCCCAACTCTTCCTCCAACAAAATAGAACAGTCTATCTCCTGAAAATGACAAAGAAACTTAATATGTTGCTTTGCCCCCCACGGATTTGTCACCTCTCTTCCCTGGGTGATGAAGCCACAAAGGATTACTCAAATCCAATCTCTTCTAAGCAGTGAGAAGCCCTGAAGTGGTTAATTCCCCAGAACCCTCAAGATAGAGGCATTCCTTTCATTTGGGAAGTTAACCACAAATTGAGGTTCCCTTCTTGTATTTATTCTCCACCCCAGGAAGTTATAGTAAGAGACATAGGTGGAGTTACAGTTTAACAATATAGGCTGGTAACTTTCAGTGAAACAAGCCAGATGACATTCTATAAGGCAGGAAGAGACATAGATGGGCTTAAAGTTTTAACAAGTTTAACAATAGAAGCTGGTAACATTCAGTAAAAACAAGTCAGATGACATTCTATTAGGCAATTAAGTAATCCACCAACAAAAGCTTGATCTTAGCAAACAGTCTCTTCTTACAGAAATTTCCCAGTATCTTTACATATCAATCAGTAACTTGTCTGTCTTTGAACCACAGCCTTGCTGTGTTACAACTCTTTATCTTACAACAGAGACTCAATAGCCTGGGGAAAATTTCCTGTTTTTTGTAAGGTCAATATTTGAAACTGCAAGGCTTTGGAAAACCAGGCCCTGTGAAGTACATTTGCTTTATAGTATACTCCACAAGAAAAACTAGGTTCTATATTAACATTAACGTCCAGTATACAGCTGTTAATAAATATTTTTCTAATTACCATATTTGTATTATTTTCAAGTATATTTAAGTATACAAATGATTGGAAGTAGTTCTCACTGTTCACGTCTTCCACAAATTAGTGTTTGTAAAAATTAAATAAGCATGAGAAATAAAATTTAATGCAAAAATTGCATAATGGTGGCCCATAGTAAAAAAAAAAAAAAAAGATACAGATATAGATGTGGATATAGACATAGATATATGCCAACATTTAAAGACAAGGAGATTTAAAAATATATATGATTCCCAACTTCCCTTGAAAAACTAACAGATCTGGCAACAGGGCTCTGAGCATTGGCATGTCCTCTTCAATTTTCTCCTGCAATCTCCACCAGTCACATGACATACATGTATGCATTTATGTCCACACATACATCATGCCTGGGCTGCTGCATGCATTTGCCCTTATGAATGGCTGCTGCATGCATTTGCCCATTTAGGAATGTCTCCTTTCCCTGAGAGAATTTAGAGTTCACCAGAGATTCACTTTCTGCATCTAAGCTGTAATGAGGAGCTCTTGGCCTGAAGATGTGGTAGGCCTATTTGAGGTAGCTGGAATTATTCTTCTCTACAGGGGTAATGCTGGAGGGGACCTCTTGTCCTCTTAAAATAACTTAAACCTCAGCCCCGGATGCTGCTTCCATGCGAAACCTGGGCTGTTAATATCTAGTTTGGAATTCTTTTCTCCAGCACTTCCTGTAATGTGTTACATGAAAGGATGTTGGACGGTCAAGAATGTGTGGGAAACTCCAAATGAAGTTAAACAAGTTTTTAAATACAGGATTCCCCTGTTCTTTAATATGTATGTGACTAAGTGTGATGACTCTGGGGAGGAAGAGGAGCAGAGTCAGGGCACAGTGCACAACAGTTCCCAGACTTATTTGTCCATAGAAGCCTTTTCTCACGTAGCATCTCAAGGCACTCATTTTCCAGTAAATGCTGCTATGTTGTCAGGGGGAACAAGAAAGTGGACCTATTTTCCTGCACTTACTAAACTTTGGAGGAAAGATGGACAAACTTTAATGCATACCAGGTCCCTTTTGCACTAGCATGCTAAGCAAAGAGAAGGGGAGGCTGCAGACTTGGGGTAAAGGAAGAGCCAACTCTTCAGAGCCCTTGCTTAAAGTGATCTCCCCCATACCTTCCTCAAATTAGGGAGCCTTTGGATGATAGGGTTTCCCTAGAAAGGAGAATTACTTAACCCAGTCCATGTCTTCACTTTCCTCCTAGCAGAGTGAGAAGAAGAGCAGCAGCATCTAAGGATTTGGCAGGCTTGGGTGGTGCTAGGGGGTTGGGGTGGGGTGTTAGGGGTTTTGACAAGCAAAGCCCAGTGCAGGTGGGCAAGAGGAGCCATCGAGAGATGGAAGGAGGGTGCAGAGGGGAAGGAGAGGGAGAAAGATGGATTGCATCCACTTTGGAGCTACGTGGGGGCTCCCTCTTCTTGGTGGTATGAAAATGATCTCCATTGGCACACAGGATGCTGATTCTTGAGCTACGCATGGAAAGGAATTTATTTGGTTGGCAAAAGGAGATATTAAGATCCAGTTTTACCGTAACCATATAGAAATGAAAACTTAGCCAAAAGCGACCTCTGACATGCCGGTTTTGTTGACTCACTCAGGATATCTCAGACATCTCATTTACATGTGGAAGGGAAGGGGGAAGTTCCAGCATTTTTTGTGCCTGTGATTTGCATAGGATCTTCAATGTCTTACCCTTAAGGGAGGCTGGAAGGTGTCAGCCCACTCTCTTCGTTGCTCTGTCTTTCCTCCTGTTGAATGATGAAAGCAAGTGTGGTTTCTCTATCCACCTTCCCAGGTGCCTCTCGATGATGACCTTGTCGTCAGCACGGGACATAGCAATGGCTTGGCGACAGTACATGTAAGTATTTAATTGACAACCAACAGGGAGTTATGCATCTATTCATACGAGGTAACATAAAAGTTAGGGACTTTGCCTCAAAGTCAGAAATTCTGGGCTTGGGTAACCATGACTAAAGTAGGATTCATTTATCTAATTCCTTCTAGGGAGCTTGGTAGCTGGCTTCACAATTTACTTCTGAAAATGATTTGTTAATCCTTATATGTATACATTCTGTATATTTTTGAAAATTACATATGTCTATATAGAGAGGTATGTAGTTTTATGGTTATATATGTATATATACATATGACAAATGTGTATGTATGTAAGTATATATGTGTGTGTGCACATGTATGTTTTCTGTGCTTAGTAACACAGTCACATCTCATTTATTCAGCCTCAGTGGGAATTGATGTGTTATACATAAAGGCTTAAGTTTCTTTTATTTTAGCCATTTGGCAGTTGCAAGTTTTTCTAAGCAGTTTGTGTATGTCTATGCAGTCTTAAACTGTGTGTTCTGAGCATAAATTAATTCTACTGATGATTTTAATTATGCTATTATCTTTAGTCATTAATTCCTTCAAGTACTGTTTATAAGTTTGCATGAGGGAGAGTGGATTGTCCATCTTTCTGTCGCTTCTAGTATCTCTCAATATACCTACTTCTGGCACCACCCCTGCTCACCCATGCATATCTGTAATTTTTTGTTTGCCATGATGGTGTGTGGGCTGGGAGAACCCACACTCCCCAGCCTTGTAATGTCATGTGTAAAATTAAAGTGCACAGGCTCAAGGATGAGAGCCTTGGGAACTTTCCGGTAGCATAAGGTGCTCAGATTTGACCACATGGGATTTGAACCAAGATTCTGCCTGGCCAGAAGTCATTTTTTGCTTATTTGGGGCTTCTCAGTTATATTTCAGAGTGTGGCGTTTGCTGAAAGTCCAGCTGCTAGAAAAATGAGTCATGAACGTACACCATTTGTACTGGGTCGTGAGAACGACACCTTGCACAACCCATCCGAGCAGCTATACTCCCATAATACCTTTTTCACTTTCCCATGGTACCATTTTAAATAGAATCTTCTTGTTTACCTGTCTCAATGTAGGTAAAAACTGTAGTTCATAAAACCAGTACTTCTGAGGAAATCTGCAGCTTTTATTTGAAAATTGATACCCAGGACATTGAAGGTAAAACAGCTTTTTTTACACTGTAATTTTGGCTAAACATAAAGGATGTCAAATAGAGTGCTTCCCTGATGAGAAAAAATGTGCTTGCTCAAAAAACAAATTTTCTTAATCAAGTTCTTTATCAGGCTGACATACAAGTAAACATTACTGTCAATTATTATAGTAGATGTAACTTTTAAACAATCGTTATATTAAATCATTGTATGAAATAACCTAATAACTAAGAACTGTTGTAATTATTTAAAGACTGCCTGGTATTGTCAGTAGCCATGAATTTCCATTAAGATCACCCAAAATGCCAACTTCCAAATCACAAATCATATTTCAGTGTGTTCAGAGGCTTGCTTATTAATGATTCTGTTCTGACAGTTTCCTAAACAGCTAAAAAACAGTTGACTCTCATATTTGTTTCTTGCTTGTTTGTTGTGTGTGCCAGCATCCAGCTACAGCGGTGACTCGGGATACAAACGTATAATAGCATGTGCCAGGTGAGCTGTCCCTACAAAGCGGGCTGTAGACATCAAGGTCTCCCTTTTGCCAAAGTAGCATTTCTTTACCTTCTTAAAAAATTTAAGATGTCCAGAAGACACAAAAAATTGTTAATTTTTTTAGAATGAAGAACACAGCAGGTATTCTTAAGTAGCTACTTAGCATAAAGAACAGCTTCGGTTTTGCTCATGTATAGTTTTCTCTCCCATCTTTGGTCTTCTTCGGATTCAAACAGTGTAATATTAATTTTTTTTTCTGTCTTGCAGAAGAGTAGAGAGGTGATATAAGTATTAGGAAAAGAAAATGCAGAAGATTCTGTCATAAGCAGCTCCTACTCTTTTACTAAGAAAAATCTCATAGCCAGCGGTTCCCAACTCAGCTGCACATTGAAGTCAGCTGGAGAACTTTTAGAAATGCCCAAAGCTCAGATCTGAGTGCCACTGGTCATTCTAACGGTAGCTGGGGTTGAGAACCACTGATGCTAAAACCTCTGCTGACTAAATACAGAGGCCTAAATAGGTCGCTGTATTGGTTTCCTATTGCTGCTAGGTAACAATTTACTGCAAACTTAATGGCTTAAAACAACACAAACTTATTATCTTACTATTCTAGAGATCACAAGTCCTAAAATTAGGGGGTTGGCAGGACTGTATTCTTCTGGGAGGCTCTAGAGGAGAACCCATTTTCTTGTCTTTTCCAAATTCTAGAGGCTGCCTGTGTCCTTGCCTCGTGCCCCTTCCTCTGTCTTCAATGCCAGCATTGTGGCATCCTCCAGTCTCTCTGACGCTGACCCCTGCTTTCCTCATCACGCCTCCTCTGACTCTCCTGTGTCTTTCCCTTATTAAGGTCCTTGTGACGCCATTGGGCCTGCCCAGATAATCCAGACAACCTCCCTATTTCAGATTCTTAATCACATCTGTAAAGTCCCTTTCCATGTAAGGTGACACAGTCACAGGTTCAGGGGATTAAGTCATGAGCATCGTGGGGGCCATTATTCTGCTTACCATGGCCACCATCCTAAAATGTTTATGAAAGTGTAGGTTTTTGAAAATATCTCCATATTTTTGGCTTTAGCAATCATGCAGAGTCAGTGAGTGGCAGAGTCGGGACCAGAACGCAGGCCTCTTTCCTTTTCCTTCCATCGCCCCTCAATCCTTCCCGTTGTGCTGTGTTTCCTCAACTCTTCATCACAGTCAGTAGCAGTAATACCTATGGGTGGTATTTTTCTGTTTTCACTTATAACGACACATGATGCCAAAGCACTCAGTATGGATCACAGAGGTTCAATAGGGTTGTGTGACAGATTAGAGCAAAAAAGGACTTTAGGGATGATATAGTAATCCCCCTATTTTAGAAATAAACAAACTGAGACCAAAGGGATGAAGTAATCTGCCACGTTTTCGCAGTTATAGGCAGAGCTAGGGGCTCAAATCCCTGACCCCTGATACCCAATCCAGCGTCTACA